TTTGTATTAATGCACTCCGTCACATGTCATAATCAAGGTCAATCTTAGATAAGAGATGAACAAATTCCCTATCCCTAATGGTGCAAGTACAACTAGCAGCTAATGTGCAGTTAGTTCTCGGATTCTTTACTCAGTGTTCCTTCAGCTTTATCTCCTGATAGTCCCACGATTGACTGGATATTGTACCTTTTGAGTTTGTTGAAGTCTTTACAACACTGACACAAAAATTACCCTGTGACGTATCAAAAACAGAATTGCCTGATTACTAGTAAGTGAATACTACTTATGCAGGAGAGCTATATATAAGAATCTGCCGGTATCAAACTTGCTCTAAAGCTTCCACTCTGAGGACAAACGAGTGGTAGCAATACGAACTGCTAACCCTCTGCGCAAGGAAACGTCAACTACTTTAACCCTCCCTGAAAGTGCACACTGAGGGTAATAAGTTGCCAGGGTTACACACTATGTTCACAGCTTGTGCTACTCTCAGAGTGCATACTTAACAGCTTTTACCACTTGCTTCTCTCCACAACATTTGGCACATTGTGTGTCTTCGCTCTCTATATCCCCTCCCTCTGCCATTAAATTGAAGAAGCATAGAATCAGACTTCTTAGTTACAAAGCCTAAGTCTGTTCCTTTAATGTGAACACACAAGTGCTTTAGTATGACCTTCACTATTTCCACGACAATGGTGAGATCAGGATTAAGAAGATCTACTCGATGAGGGTAGTCCCCGTTCATAGTTACCAGTGAAGCAAGTGTTTTAATGATTTCTTCTCGGTTCACATCCTGGTTGTTTCGGGCCTTGTAAACAACAGCAAACTGACAAAAGTAATCAATATTAAAACATCATATCAAGAGTATTATTTACCTTCAGTATAGATTTCTCCAGATAGAAATGTGGTGCGAACACATTAGATACACATTTCTGAATATCTCTGTCTGTAGCATGACATACTGCTGACACAGGAATAAACCGCTGGCAAAACCTGCAATTAACTTCAGGAACATGACATGCATAACAGTTATTAACCCTCGGCGTGCATGCATAGCGAGGGTTACAGTGGTTGGTTTGTGTGTGTCAGTCTGTCTCTTTCCACGTTCTCTACAACTACGTGCAACGAGACAACAAAACAGCGATACTAACGGGTTCATCGCTAAACTGGCCTCATTTAAAACGATTTTCATATTATTGCGTTCAAAGGTATGGTGTGAAAACAAGTGAACAAGCCAATATGTAAATTAGCACAGGCTTACCTCGACTGGGTCCGCTTGCTCTGTGCATCTTGAAAGCACAAGAAGGCATGTATCGACTCCCGCATGCTATATACTGCTGTAGCTAGTCCGTGTCAGACTCTCTGCGAGCTATAGCAGGAGACCCCGAGAAACGCGTACTAAAACCCCAGCCCATCAATTGAACGAAACTTTGTACAAATCATAATAAGAGGATATAAAAGGATGGTCGAAATTGAGTTTATGGTGCACACCAGGCAACAATATAGGGATTCTATGATGGGGTAAGGGTTGTGAGTGTGTTAAAATCTGTGCCATACTTTAGTTTATGTATCCCATTCCTATCTTGTCTCCTTTCTTTTTATACCATCCCTGTATGCCAATTTGCAGGATATTTACTTGCCTTGCCTTATGCTCTTTTGCTTCCTTTACACTGGAGAGCATATGGTGTACGAGAAGAACAGGATCAACCAGTGGGTGGCATTTCACAAACACTAGATGCTTTGTTCCTGTGTCAACAGCTTGGAATCTCCTGGGTTTCTCCTCACTACCACGTAGTTTATCCACCTCTTGTGCCAATTTCAGAGAAACATCATCTCCACTGCTCGGAGTGTCATCTCCATTGGGTTCAGGTCCATAAAGTTGGTCAGCATACTGACAGAACAAGCATAAACCAAGGCTCAGCTATTTTCAGTGCCAAACCTCATTGAGTAGGTTATAGGCTTCAGATACACACAGTCTCTCGTGATCACTTGTTGATATCAGAATGCCTGCCAACCCTGGACATAACTCCTCCTTCTATAATAAAATTAAAATCAAACTGAATTAACATACTAATACCTTAACGCTAGACTAAGTACAGGGTGAAGTATTGTCATTAGTAACTTCTCTTTTCCCTTCTTGTGTGATGATTGCTAGTTAGCAAAGTAGATGTTAACTGTTGAAGCCCAGCACATAAAACGCATGCAAACATCAACGAGGCTGCAAGGCAACAAACAAGTATACCCAATACAACTGCTCTCGGTGGTTCTTGAACCCAAAAAACTGGCAGAGCACTCTTATATCCTGAGCTACCAGAGCAGCTCAGCAGGCGAGGACCCAAAACTACAACACAAGGCAAGGCAAACCCAACTTACAGTGCTATGGAGTATACCCTCACTCGGTGTGTAGGAGTAAACCAGGGTAACACCAAACCAACTCTAAACTCGGTTACACACATGCAAAAACACTGCAAGGGAAAAGCAAAAAACACGTCAACTACACCCAGGACAACTGAAAACAATGAATAGCTGCTCAGGGTAACGACAAAGACGCTCAACTCAGTACGTGGAATACCACCCAGGGTAGCTAGTCTTTTTTCTTGGAAAGAGAGTTCTCCTGAGCGTAATTTATTCATTTGTGTTTTCCTCGTTGATGTAGAATTTGGGGTTTGGTGTCTTTGGTGTTACCCAGGACAGCTCTTTTTTCCGTAGATCTGTCCTGGGTGTAGTTGATTTGTTTTCTTCGTGTTTTGTGTTGCGATTTCGTTGAGATGTTTGCATATGAACCCACGACACTCTACAGCCAAGGCAGAGCACACCCACCGAGCTGTCATAAGTTGTTTGTAAATGATATAATAGTGTGTGAATAAGAACTTCGATAGTAGTCAGAAAGGCAACAAACTTAATATAGAGACAGTAGCTCTATCTACAGGATCTCGGTCCTGTATATTATTACGCCATACAAAGAATTGGGCAGGAACTTATTACCTTAGGAAGAATGTATAAGAGCAGGAATACAGGAATGGTACATACCTATATACTACAGTAAGGAATGCATCATAGTTACCTGGCAACTAATGAAAAGCACTGAAGTGCAAACCCTCGGCGCATTGACGCGCACGCGCAAGTAAACGCATGCGCCGTACCACTAATTGATGGGCTGGGTTTAGTTTTAGCTGTTACTCGTGGTCTCTTGCCAGCTCGCGCGGAGTCTGATGCGGGCTAACTACACTACTAGATAGCATGCGAGAGGCGATACACGCCCTGCGTTGCATCTTCCGGTGCCTCCGAGGTACGCAGAGCACGCGGATCGATCAGACCGTGGTAAGCCATCCCGTCCGTTGTGTATTTGCATATTGGCTTTTTCGCCCTGTAGCTCTGCAACGGAGCATTTTCAGAGAAAACCCCACATATTTTCTGACCTTCGTCGCCCGTTGGGTAGATGGTATCGTTTCTGGGACGAACAGTAGTAGATAGCACGCGAGAGTCGATACACGCCATTCGTTGTGACTTCTTGTGCCTTCAAGATAGACAGAGCAAGCGGACCCGGTCGACTGTGCTAAATATAAGCGCATGTGCATTAACCGCCAGCGATAAAATGGCGACTACCCGCATTTGCCTGGAAGCGCTCTAGCTTTGCAACGGAGCATTTTCAGAGAAAACCGTTCGAAATTTCTGACCTTCATTGCCCGTTAAGTAGGTCGTATCCTTTGTGAGACGAACGAACACCCGAGAAGTGAGATTGAGAGTAACAGGCACACAGACAAACACCCAACTACAGTAACCCTCGCTGCGCATGCGCGCCGAGGGTTAATGAATTGGACACACAACTCCAAAAGTTCTGCTTAAGGGGTGTTCTCACAAGCATGATGTGCAAGGAGTGATATTGAGCACAGGGTTATATTTCATCCTAAGGGACTTTTTACAAAAGGTGGTGTGGTTATTAACTTTTGGAGGGATAATAGCCACAACATCTCCTGCTTTGTATGCACTATGGCTTGTGCAATTAGTTATTACCCGAGGGATGCAATGACACTTGTTATTTTTACAAGGAGACCTGCAGTAACATTTTAGCCTGAGTTCAAAATCGCGACATGGCTTAAACTGGGTCACAAGTCTGGCTGGGGGGTTGTTCAGGTGGCCATTCCCCCTGAGAGTGGTTCCTGGATTTACCACAAACCGGGGTGTGTCCTCTACCTGTCAGTTGCTTCCGCTTTCCCCTTTCTTGTTGATTTTACTGCTTGTAAAAATACAGCTGGCATTTAATTCCTCAGCTGTTCAGCTAAGTGAGGCATATCCATAGTGCATAGAGTCACATATCTTTGTAAAAAGAAGGCATGTGAAAACGGAGCGCAAAATTATTAACCCTCGGTGCACATGCGTAGGCAGAAAGGTCAAAGGCACAACAAACAAATCAACTACAGCTTTTTCCATGGAAAAAAGAAGAGGAGCTACCAGTGCAACTTGGTTCAAATCTTCAACACCTTAAACCAACTCTCACTCAGCACAGACCAGGGTAATTAAAGATGCTCAACTAGCAGACTGGGGTAATTAAACCAGAGACGCCCAACTCCCAACTGGCCGAGCGCATTAGCGCGAGGCAACTACTCCGGGTTGTATTCTCGCGATATGCGTACGTACGTACGTGTCGGTCATGCTTAAGAATGTCAATTAATCACGCTTGGGGAATGTCAATTAGTCACGCTTAGGAATGTCAACTTCCGTCATTCGTAAGAAGTCTAGCTTCCGCCGTGTACGCAGATTGGAGCGCGTGAACGAGCAGCCTCAGCGGACTGTTTACGCAAGCATTGGCTGGCTGGCGCGAGGCAAAATATGCGCGTGTGCATTCCTAGTAAATTATTTGTGAAAACTACAAGGTTGACCGGTAAAGGTACAAAAAAACAAATCAACTACACCCAGGATGACTGTTATTGATAAATGACCACACCCCTTATAATTCGACATTTGTGTACAGATTCCCAATATAATTTCCTTAGTAAAGCAGCTCCGGCTGTAGGAACTATTTTAAAGGGTGGATCGAAAGCGCCACCATGCACTATATCAGGGCGAAATATCCGCAGCGCGGGCTATATCAACTTCCTATGAGTGTTATATCAACTTCCTGTGAGAGCGCTCGAGTGAGGGAAGAGAACAGGAGAAGGCCAGTGACGGCAAAGGGACTACTAACGCGAGCACGGATGCAATAGCCGGGGGGGGAAACCGGTCGGAAAACTGGTTTAGGTCGAGACAAACAAGAATTTTTGCGCCATTATCCGCCATGCAACCCGGGTCATGACGACATCATAATAATAATAATTATGACAAAGAGGAGCCAGGGAGGCTGCTGTAAGAAAGCGGTATGAATAAAATGTGCCACTGCATCATTTATGTTCTTCTTATCAGATTGTAGTAAGTACACGAATTTCTGCTCTGATGAATGCCACTTATATCCAGGAAACGCTGCTTGTATTACTTGTTCCAGATTGTTACGTAGGTTTTCATACTTTGAACATTCGCATAGGAAGTGCTTCTCATCTTCTACAGATTTGCACTTGTGACACAGACATAAATTACCTATGTCGACATGTCCGTAGTTCGGACACTCGTGATTTATTCCGGCAACGTATATACCTCACGGACATGACATAACCTCTACCTAGCTCACGGTTCTCACCTTTCTCTTCGAGTGTGGTGCAAGGCTGTAGTAAGACCTTTTACGCTTTTTTGACCCGGTAGTAGCTTCCATGCTCGACTGTAACCTTTGAACCATGAGCCAATCCTTGATCCTGAGGGAGGTGCTTGTGTGTGCGGAATCATAATAGCCCAGTTGCACGTAAGAGTATTTCAATCACCCGTGACGTCATTGCCGGTTGCTGCTGATGTGGGCAGGAAAATGTATTGGAGAAATCGCAACCGCCCGTTTTCAAAGTCGCGCGAGGCACGCGCAGTACCGCATATTCGAGAGCGCAAGCTAATTGGGCGAGCGGAGCAAGCCCGCCTAGTCGTGTCTTCGGGTCGAATTTCTATCTATCCGACGCGCACCGTCGCCGTCTTAGTGCGCATGCGTTAACCCAAGTACCGTAATGTAGCTTGTACTGTTTGTTTGTTTTCTTTTTTGTATCACTGTTTGTGGGGTCAGGTGATTGTGCGATGATTTTGTGAATCGTCTTGGCAATGTGATCATGGTACTCACCCAGTCCTCTAGGCAATGAAGATGTTTTACACACACGCAGAGTCTGGGCAATAACCCTCGCTGGCGGCAGGCTAGGCGATGAGGCCACTCTCGGCGAACTGCGCATGCGCGGTACCACAAATAGAAGGGCTGGGCATTTACTCGTGGTATCCCGCGCGCATGAGTCTGGCACGGGCTAGTAGATACCATGCGGGAGTCGATACATGCCCTTCGTTGTGACTTCTTAGATACACAGAGCGAGCGGACGCGGTCGAGGTAAGCCTGTACTAATTTGCATATGGGCTTGCTTTTCACGCCATAACTTTTGAACGCAGTGGTTATACGAATTTTAATATGAAGCCAGTGAAGCGACGTTGGTATCGCTGTTTTGTTGTCTCGTTGCGCGTAGTCGCAGAAAAAGAGAGACAGACACTTATACCGTAGGCCCTCGCTGCGCATGCGCGACATGCGCGCCAAGGGTTAATCTGTATAGTGTGCGTTTGTTTCCACCTTGTCCAGTCAGGCTATGTTCGAGTTCTAAATTGGCATGCCACCTTTGAATAAACTGGTCACGGTATGTGCACATTTGTGTTTTGCGTGTTTCGTTCAGAACTCTGAGAATGGAGTAACATAACCAGTAGTATGAAACCCAACTTCAGTATTCCCTCCTTCCACCATAGGTTGACAGGGAGCTGGCCCAGCTCACCATAAACAACCATGTTAGGTGCTGATGCTGGTAAATGTAGTATCTGCTTGAGAAAAACGGAGCTCTACTCTCTCTAGGACCTAAGGTGTTGATCACCAGTGAAACCCCAGACTTCAGACCCATAACACAAAATGGGCTTCAACATTGTTAGTATAACTGGGATGGGGGGTTGTCTAAATGTCTTAGTAATAATAATAATACTCAGGTGGCTGCCATAGCACTAGGGCCATAGACCACTCACCCAGAGCAATGGGCGGAACCGTTAACAAACGAACATACACCATATGAACATACGGTGTCTGTCTCACCTCCCAGACACCTCAACTCACCCCTTCCACCAGTGACACCCTGCAGCTCCCCAGATGCAATCTGAGACTGGGTCTGTTGTACGCTGGGATTATCGCCATATAACCTAACCTTTCTTAGCTCCCAAACATCCGAAATAAAACCTTTAACAAGGCAAAGCAAAGAACCAAATTTATCCTCCCACAGCTCACTACCCAATATAAAGGATGCTTTCCCGAAACTATCAAGCGACTGGGAATGCTCAAACCCATCATCCCCAAGCTTCTCCTGCAGGGCAACTAAGAAATTGCTCCTAAGACTACTATATGCTGGACACTCCCACAACACATGACTCACACTTTCACACTCATCATCACACAACAGGCACTCCTTCATCCCCTCCCTCCCCCTATGCCTACCGAGTTCCTCATTTAGCCCATGCGTGCTAGTATTGTCAATAATGAAAGCATTCCTTTGTTTGCCTGATTGGCGAGGTGTTTCAATTTTGAGTAAACCATATCTTGTAAGACTGCACTTTTTCCAGGGTATGATTGTTCAGTAAAAATAATATATTAGGACTTCTATCCCCACCAAAGACACATATTTTGGTTATTTCTGTGTTGACTTCTAGTTTCCTCCTTTGGGAAAAGTCTGATAAAGTTTTGCGTTTTCTTAGACCTGCTGCACTTGAGGAAATGAGGACCACATGACCCGCATACATGATTATGTCCAAAATATTACCATTGTGGATTTTGATTCCTGCATTGTTTTTCTTTATTTTTCTTCTGCTGTGAAAAGGGCAAAAAGCAGAGGGCTCAGTATTCAACCTTGTCGGACTCCTTTTTGGCACTTAAACAGATCAGTGGCTTCATTCCTGATACATGAGGTTGCAGAATTGTAACACTGCAAGTATCCACTGACTAACTCCATTACTGCTTAAGCATGACCATAAAAGTGTGTGGTTTATGCTGTCAAAGGCCTTTTTGATGTCCGCAGAGCACACATTAAGCTGTTTTTTCTGACTTAAAGCCAGTTCAATCCCTGTGTTTAGAATAAAAAGACAGTCAATTGTACTCCTGTTTTTCCGAAAACCAAACTGTGACTCTGGTATCAGTGAACTTTCTTCTGCCCAGTCCCTTTAAGTAAATATTTTCCCAATACTATTTAAGACAGTTTGTTATTCCCCTATAGTTTTTGGGGTGATTTCTAGAGCCTCCCTTGTGTACTGGAGTTATAATTCCTATTGACCATTGATGTGGTAGTGGCCTGTGTAAAAATAGATCTGTCTAAAGTGAGATAAAATACCTACTCAACGCCTTATAAACTTCCGCAGGGATTCCATCAGTCCCTGGGGCTCTCTTAGATTTCAAGTGAGCAATAGCTTGTATAGCCTCGTCATAACAAAAAATTGGGTCATCCAGTTCAGAGACGTATGGTAAGGCAGGTGGGACAGAAAAACCTAGTTCTGGGCCTCCTGGTGCTCATGTTCAATTCTTGAAGAAAATATTCTCTGAGTTTAGGATCCACCTCAGATGTTACACCTTGTTTTGGTCTTGCCCGGGAGATTATCTTCCAAAAATTTCAGGGATCCCTCTGGTATGTTGTCATGAGCAAACTATGGAGATGGGAGCTATTACCAAAGTCATAATATACTTTTCTTTTCCCGATAATAACTGTCTCTGAGATAAGGGTTGTAATAAATTTCTTTTTTACATCATTTATCGCTTTTGGACTTTACATTCTCTATCAAACCACTTATTAACCCTCGGCGCGCATGCGCAGCGAGGGTTACGGTGTCTGTCTGTTAACTCTTCATCTCACTTCTCGAGTGTTCGTTCGTTCATCTCACAAAGGATACCACCTACGGAACGGGCAATGAAGGTTTCGAACGGTTTTCCCTGAAAACGCTCCGTTGCAAAGCTAGAGCGCGAAATACACAACGGCTTACTACGGCATGATCGATCCGCGTGCTCTGCGTACCTCGGAGGCACCAGAAGATGCAACGCAGGGCGTGTATCGCCTCTCGCATGCTATCTAGTAGTGTAGTTAGCCCGCGTCAGACTCTGCGCGAGCTGGCAAGAGACCACGAGTAACAGCTAAAACTAAACCCAGCCCACCAATTAGCGCATGTGTTTACTTACGCGTGCGCGTCACAGTGCGCCGAGGGTTTGCACTTCAGTGCTTTTCATTCTTGTTGCATTCCTGTTATTACTGGGCTCAGTTACCAGGCCAGCTATCACATTCATTATCAACTCTAATAGTGTGTGAATAAGAACTTCGATAGTAGTGAAAAATTCGAGAAAGGTATGTACCAAAATTCACTATAATTCACGAGCGTTTTAGCCAATATCGACGCCCAAGCAATCAATAAGGCGAAAGTAGACTCCTTTGCTACAACAGCTAACTGGATTGTAACATTCCAAACTACTATAATATTACTCCGTCGCCATGAGCTGAAACCGTACACCACAGCGAATTTTTGCAGCATCGCCATTCCACAGACCTCTCGCCGTCGCCACCTACCACAAATATAAGTAGCTATATAGCTATAAAAACTACACAGGCGCCAAACCCTTCATTTCGGAATGTCCCGTCTTAGTCGAATAGGACGCACCTTCACGTCTTGCGTGGGGAAGAGCAAGACAATAGACGACGATGAGCTAATAAAACCAAAAAGGAACCACGACAGAGAATGGGAAGATCAGCAGGAACTACTTCAGTTACCGCAAGTCATCTCTGAAGAGTTTTACGAACGTGTCCGGAAGGACGCTGTTGTCGTGGAATTTTTGGACCACATCGCCGACTGCGTAACCGGCTACGTGTGCGTGCGGAACGATGCTCCGGAAAAGCAAGTAATTGCACGGTATAGTACGAACGGCTGGGAAACTTGCGTAGAGGCAGCAGCAACTTGGCTCGGATCAGTTGAAGCTCAAAACTGCGATAAGTTTCGCTTTCAAATTTCTTCCTTGGGTCGTTCATATACCGTACATCTCGCTGTGCGATATGAGGTACTAGACCAACAATACTGGGACAACAACAACAAGGAAAACTATAAAGTTGTGCATGAACAGTGAAATTTACATGATGATTGTTGCATCAAAATATATAAAAAGTAGTGACTGTATATAAATCAATAAAAAGTTTATTAAATGCCATGATAGATACCACTACACCTATTGGACTCCTTTTGGTGGAATTGGAGGATTCGCAGTGGTTTTGGTTGGTTTAGGAGGGAGAGAAGGAGGTAGGGAAGGATCAGTTTCAGTAGCCAACCGAGGGGGCAGAGGTGGAGCAGCATCAAACTGTGGGGGCTTAGAAGGAAGCAGAATTAGTCTGTCATAAGCAGAGTCTTCTCCTGCTCCAAATGGAGCCAGTTTGTCATATGGTGGATAGTCTCCAGATGAAGATGAATGGGTAGGGGGAAGTGGAACAGGAGGCTTGAAAAAGCTTCTTGTGACAGGTTCAGGATGAGGTCTCCTATCAGAAGGCAACAAAGTAGGTGATGTATTGGGGCTAGGGGTGGAAGTAGGTAGAGGAAATGGTGCTTTGTACTGGCCACCATTTTCAGAAGGAACATGGTAAGAGTGAAGAACTGATGACTCAGGATCATAACTTGTTCTATTATATGGCAAGGGCATGGGTTTCTTAGGTGCTGACTGACTGCAGGATTGCAATCTAGCATCAAAACTTGAAGAGTGATGAGGATGATCAAACTGTGATGGAGTAACTGGAACCTCCAATCCAGCAGCCCAACTTGCTGATTGCAAAAGCACCCTGTCTTTGGGCTTACATCTTGGAGGTAGCTCTGGAGGTGACCTGGGTGGAAGGTCTGGTGGAACAGACTCTTTTGGGGTGCTTGGCTTTGGGGGTAGGGGGGGTTGCAGTGGTTCTGATATTGGAGTGGGTGAGGTAGGCTCACTGCCCCCACTGTTCTTTTGAGAGTCTAGCTCAGCATCTACTTCTATTGATACTTTTGGCCGATGTTGTCTTCGCCCAGGTAGAGTCAAAAAACCACTTTGATCGGGACCTCTCAGATCAACCTTCCACTGCGTGCTCAAAAAAGGGAAAAAGCAACAAAACCAAAGGCGCCGGGGTGGGAAAAGGGGGAAAGGAGTGGGAGAGGGAAGCGGGCCGGGGGGCCCGGAAGGAAAAAAAGATGGCGAAAAGAAAATGCGAATCCGTTGAGGGAGGGGGCGAAAAAAGGAAAAAAAGGAAAGTGGAATAAACGGAAAGAAGGAAAGGCAAAAACGAGAAAAAGCGGGGAATAAAAGGCGGGCGGGAGGAAGGTGGGGGGAAATGGGAAAACGGCGGGGGGAAGGGGGGGGTGAAAGGGACAGGGGCGGGAGAGGGGGAAGAAACTGAAAAAAATAATGGGAAAGAAACGAATAAAGACAAAAGAGAAATAAAGGGGGGGAAAAAAAAAGGGGAACAGAGGAAAAGGAAACGCGTCGGAAATGAAGGGGAGACGGGCCGGGAAACGCGGGCCGGGAGGGGGGCCTACGGAAAAAAAAGGAAAGGGGGGAAAAGAGGGAAGAAGAAAAAAAGAAAAAACGAAAAGGAAGACGAAAAAAAAAGGGGCCGTATATACGGAGGGGACGGGGCGAAAATTGGGGGAAAAGGGAAAGGGGGCGAGGGAGGAAAAAAGCGGTCCGGAAGGGAAAAAAAGGAAGGGAAAACGGGAGAAGGGAGGGAAAAAAGGGAAAAAGGGAGGGGGGGGAGGAAGGGGGAAGGCGACGAAGGAAATAAGGAAAAAAACGCGGAAGAAGGGAGAATGGGAAAAAAAAAACGGGGGGGGGCGGGGAGACGAGGAACGGGGGGAGAAGGAAGAGGCCGGCGCAGAAAGGTCTGGTGGGAAAAAGAACATAAGCCGCCGGTGAAAGGAGAAAGCGCGAAAAGACGCGGGGGACGGAGGGAGCCGGCGACGCCGTGGGAGGAAAAACGGAAGAGCGAATGTGAAGGTGCGAAAGCGAGGGGAAAAAAAACCTAAGGGGGCCGGAAAAAAAAAAGGGGGGGAAGCGAAAGGTGAGGAGGGAAAAATGGGAACGAAAAGGAAACGAAGAATTAAGGCCGGAAGGGCGTGAAGGGAAAACCCGGGTGAAAAAAGCGGGTAAGCGAGGGTGATAAAGGGAAAGAGGGAAGAAATAGAGGGAAAAAGGGGGAAAAGGGGGCACTAGGGGAAAACAGAAAGGCCGCTGCGCGTAAAAGGGAAAAAAGGGAGGGGGGAAGAAAAGGAAAGGGGCGGGGGGGGCGGGGCGGACGGACGATGGGAACCGGGGGCGAAGAAAAACAGGCGGGCCGCTTATGAAAAAACGGGGGGGTTAAAATGTCTAAGTCTGGTAAAAAACTTAAAAAAAAAGCCCCATAAAACAATTTAAATAAAACTTTTTGTTTACCACTTTACAACCCCAACTCGTCTTACCTACTTAGGCTTCTTCCCCCCCCCTCCCTTGTCCTTGTCTTTTTCTCCCCGTTTTTTCTTCTTTCCCCATATTACTTGCCCCCCCCTTCATCCCCCCTTCTTTTTTTTTTTTTTTCTTTTTTCTCCGCCGCGATCCCCCCCCCGCGCCGCCTCCACGAGGGGGGGGGGGCAGCCACAGCACCCCGGTGCCCCTGTGAGGTGGCGCCTGGACGTGACGCAAGACCCGAGCCGGCCGCGCAGGAGACGTGGCCGGCCGTGCAGCCGCGACGGCGCTACCCCAGCGCCGGCAGCGACACAGGGCCCTCTTCTCTCCCTTCTCTTTTTTCCTTCCCCCCTTAAAAAATTAAGTAAAAATTTTAATTGTAAAATATCTTTTTTACTAAAAAAGTATATTCTTTTGTATAATATACTGTTATAACAGCAATTTCTGCAATGCATTAGTGTATCCATAAATGGTATGTTTGTATTTGGGCCTGCATCTCAATTATGTGCTCTTGTGACATAATAATGTCCAGTTAGATAGAGCGCAGCAGCAAACGAGTGTGTACGGACCACCCACAAATTACTGCTGACAGTGCACAGCGATACTCTAAGGGTTGTCTATCAAAACCTTACACGTCATATTAGCAAGGTAGCACGTACTACAGCAATGCAATCTCGTAACTTGATGCACGGCCAAGCTTACTGGAGAACTGCTTCCTGCATTAGTATGCTGTAGGGAATAGCTCCAAATTTGCATGCCCAACTTTGTGTAAAGTACCTCAGATAACACTTGCTTTGCTGGAAACATTTATTGTTCTTGCTGCTAACTTCACTTGTAATTACACTACACAGCATGCCGCAGAGCTTGTGACATCATGATCGAACACGAGCACCTGAGCTAGAGATGATTTTGCCTAAATGTGTACACTTTTGGCTAGTCTCATTTTCAGACCCCTACCGTTTTAATTGAATGCCCGCATCCACATTAAAAATGGAAGGTGTCTGGTAATGAGACTACGTTCGGTAGCTGATGCATTCTTGTGTACACCAATATATTTATTAACAACACTATGGCAGCCCATAAGAGACTTTGTGGCCTATTCAAGGGGTTTAAATATCTGCGTTGTAAATACGTAGACATACTGCTCTAATAGGAGGTTGATCCTTAGGTTCAATGATATGTGACTGCTGAAAAAGATTCTCTTCCCATTGTAGAGGTGTGGCATCACCCTGCGGATCCTGACTGATGAGAAACTTCTGCATAGTTGGTTCAGGCTCAATACAATAAGGGGTGTTTTGGTACTGCTGAATCTCTTGTAGTACAGTAGCCAACCTCCGTCTGGTAATGTACAACGAAGACAGTGAGTAGCTATACAGCCTTAATTGTAGTGCTTGGAGTAAAAAATGCAATGTCTACCCACCTTTTTCGAAAGTTGATAAAGTTGTCAGGCATCCCAGGTATCTGGTCTTCATTTCCATCTCTTATAAATACGATCCAGCTCAGATACATCCCTAGATAGTAGACATTTATAAAACACTACTGGTGTAAAAGGGTTATTATCCTCGGCGCGCATGTGCAGCGAGGGTATGGTAGTTGGGTCTGTCTGTGTGTCAGTTACTCTACATCTCACTTCTCGAGTGTTTGTTCGTCTCACAAAGGATATGACCTATTTAACAGGCAATTAAGGTCCGAAATTTCGAACGGTTTTCTCTGAAACTGCTCCATTGCAAAGCTAGAGCACGAAAAAGCCAATATGCAAATACAGGGATGGCTTAACACGGTCTGATCGATCCACGTGCTCTGCGTACCTCGGAGGCACCAGAAGATGCAACGCAGGGCGTGTATCGCCTCTCGCATGCTATCTAGCAGTGTAGTTAGCCTGCATCAGACTCTGTGCAAGCTGGCAAGAGATCACAAGTAACAGCTAAAACTAAACCCAGCCCATCAAATTTATGGTACGGCGCATGCGTTTACTTACGTGTGCGCGTCACAATGCGCAAGGGTTTGCACTTCAGTGCTTTTCGTTAGCAAGGTAAAGCTAGTAGTGGAATTCTATGCACTTCGTCATATTATACTTCCATGCAACCAAGGAGAGTATTGACTCTCACCTGGTCATTCAGTGCTTGGTACACTATCAAGATTAACAAAACTATTAACGTTCGGCGCGCATGAGCAGCGAGGGTCACGGTACTTGGTTTGTTAGCTTGCGTGTGTGTGTCTCTGTCTGTCTGTTATCACGTTTTCTGCCACCATGCGCAATGAGACAAAAGAGCAATACTAAAAGGTATAGCGCTACACTCACTTGGTGAATTGCATATGAAATTTCTCCACTCAAGCCCTATACTGTAGCAATGGATGAGTGTGCTACCTCGTATGATGTGCAGCTATGACTTATGTATTTCCTAAGAAAATGGGACAGGTAATGCACAGGTGTTGCCCTCTGTGGCAGCTCCTCCGTTTTTGAGGTGTGACTGCATAGTCTAAGTCAGCCATGTTCGCTCAACTAACAAGTTTAATAATGTTGCATTCTTAGGCTTCTACAGAATCCTTTGCCAGTCCTCACACTACATAATTCACCAAACAAACTCATGTCATGAGTGAGAGTGGCGACAACATTGGGATTGTGTGGAGGAAGAGGAAGCAATGTGAGTTTGAGTATAAAGACGTCATCCATTGTACTAATACTGCATCACATACACCAGATTGTCCCTGTGTTGTCTTATATATATATATATATATATAAATTATTCACCGTTTCCTGAATTCACTTGGCTCCTTTCCTTTTTTCGTAGCATTCACATGCAAAACATTTTGGGGCATAATGCCAATAAGTATGGGGGAAGATTAGTGTCAAAAATTACGCACACCCAAACGTACATTTGGGTACACACTTTTTTATTTGGGTACCCAGTTCTCATTTGGGTACACACACTTTTTAACCCTCAGTGTCCATGCGAAGCGAGGGTTACAGTACTTCGTTTGTAAGTGTGTCCGTCTGTCTGTTACCACGTTTTCTGCAACTACGCGCAACGAGATAACATTACAGCGATACCAACGGGTTCATCGTTACACTGGCTTCATTTTTAAAAAGACGATTTTCGTATAACTGCTGCGTTCAAAAGTTATGCGTGAAAAGCAAGTGAACAATCCAATATGCAAATTAGCTTACCTCGACCGCGTCCGCTCGCTCTGTGTATCTTGAAGGCACAAGAAGTCACAACGAAGGCCATGTATCGACTCCCGCATGCTATCTACTAGCCCGTGCCAGACTCTGCGCGAGCTACTAGCGGGATACCACGAGTAAAGGCATAAAAAACCCAGCCCATCAATTAGTTGTAACGCGCATGCGCAGTTCACCAAGGGTTTGCACTTTAGTGCTAAAGTGCTTTTCATTAATTTGGGTACCCGGTTCTCATTTGGGTACCCAGTTCTCATTGGGGTACACACACTTTTTAACCCTCGGCGCGCATACTTGGTTTGTAAGTGTGTCCGTCCGTCTGTCT